TTAGTGTATGAGCATCTGGTACAATTTAGAATCAAGTTCATGGATAGTCACTGCAAAATGTGACTGTGCTATAGGCAGAAACAAACAACAGGAGCAAAGCATGTACATGCGTCTTTAGAAACGGGGTTCCTTGAGTTCCTAGGCCTAGAGTCCTGGGGGCCACTGTGATACTCATGTCTGCTTTATGTATTTATTTACTTAGCCACTTATTTAATATTGGTAAATCCAAAGTGAAGTTATGACTATAAAAGTAAAAAAGGTTTTTAAAGAGCTAAAAACAATGCAAAGTTCTATGCTGAGGGCCTCGGGGGTTGACATTTTGCTGCATTCTGCCTCCCTCTAAAATGAAGGAGCCACTTGGAGTCCTCCAGCAACTCAGCCCCTGACAGGTGATCTGTGAGGAAGTGGGGGCTGGGGCTTAGGTTTACACTGACATTTGACATGCAAACCAAGGCTTTGTTCCCTTTGAAGCTGAAAGAACCTATTCCAGCTTCTTTGAGGATACCGGGCCACCAGAGCAGCCACTTATAGATTGCCTGAAGGTTGGAAGGGAGCTTAGCCATCATTTATTCCATCCCTTGAATTCTACTGATGAGGGGTAGCACTGCAAAGAGCAAGTTCCCCCCCTTTGAGCCCCTTTCTCTTTTACTGACTACTCTGGCATGTGCACTGTCAGAGCTTTATCTCAGGGGGCTGCATAGGGTTAAGATCTGGTTTTTTAAGATCTGGGTTTTTGGAGGTTTCTTTATTTTATTATCCTATTTTAAAGTACTGCAATACTGCCCACATTCCAAATCTTCTTTGCCTGTATTCTGTAATGGAAATTATCTCCCTTCTGTCCATCCATTGTTGAGATTGGGTTGAATCTCATATAATATGTCTACCATGATTTTAGTAGGCTTGATTAATTAAAGGCAGACACCATACTTCCTTAAATTGAATAATGCCACTTGTTTTATTCTTCAGGTGTTTATTGAGCATCTACTATGTGCCAGATCTATGGAAGGCCACAGCCATCCAGAAACTTAGAGGACATATAGCCTTCTCTCATCCAGCGTGTCTCATCTAGACTTGGCTCTACTGCAGCAGTGAATAAGCATGGAATTTTCAGCTGAAATGCTTATAGGTTATTGATTTCAGAGGTTATTCATTTTAGTTCTTTGGCAGGCTTTAATTTCTGAAACACATCACTTTTCAAGTCCCATTTGTAGAAGTCCTATATGCCCTCTACCCTTAGTGGTATGTCCAACATGGTATTTTTCACCTAATTTTTAAAATCTACTGTTGATTCATGATTCTGTTCTCATTGTAAAAGATTTAAACTATGCTAAACAGCTTAAAAGCTCAATGCCCCTTTTACTCTGTCTCCCAACTCCACACTTCTCCCCAGAAGCAATATACCCCAATTAATTGGTAGATGTGACCTTTGTGTGCTTTTTTAAAATTTATTTTTTATTTTTTTTTGTGACCGGTAAGGGGATTGTAACCCCTGGCTTGGTGTCGCCCGTACTGCGCTCAGCCAGTGAGGCCCCACCTGCGGCCTCGGCGCTCCCAGTGCCGCACTCTCCCGAGTGAGCCATGGGTTCGGCCCCGAATATGTGTACTTTTACACTTTCCATTTAACACATATTGGATTATTTTATACAGACTCTTCTGTGATTTGTATTTTTCACTTAACAGTATGTTTTGGTAAACTATCTGTTTTAGTGCATGTGGATCTTCCTCATCGTTTTCTAATAGCTACAGAAGCATTAGATGGAATTTCCCTGCCAAGGTTTATTTAACCACTTACAGTTGATGGATATTTCGATTGTTTTCCATTTTTTGTTATGACAAACAAGACTGCAGTAAATAATTTTGTATATAGTTTTTGAGCATGTGTACAAGTATTTTCATAGAACAGAGACCCCGAATTTTAATTTTCTACATGAAATGGATCTGATAAGCTGAAGAGAGCAAGATTGGTTGCCAGTTGGCAAATACATTGAGAACTGAGTCTTAAGTTTCTTAGCCCATGCTGTTCTGTTTGAATTAATTCAGGATTTCCCTAAAAGTACTCCATGTTCAGACCCTGCTGGCTGACATTTTGAAGTCTGGAGTCGAGCTTCATAGATTAAAAACCTTAGATTGACAATATTTAAATATTTTAAAATGGTATGGACTTTATTGAGAAGGAAGTAGAAAATGGAGAAAATAAAGAGAATTTCCCTAATAAATGGATTAAAAACTCCACATTGAATAGAGCATTAGTCTCCCAAGAAAGGAGGTTGGCCCATTCTTTTTGAAAAGAGCATTTTTTATGTTTTTCTTTCCAGCTAAGCCAACTCCACAAATAGCCAAAACTAAATACGTCATGAGTGTGCTGTGTTGATATGGGTTTTGTTTCAGATTTTTAAATGTAACTAACAGGGTGTGGTAGGTGGAATTCTGAAGCGGTCACCCCCAAGACTCCCTCCTTTGGTTGTTCAATCAAACCCTAGTCCAGGCACTGGGTGAAGGGACTTTGTAGATGGAATTAAGGTTACTAACTAGCTGACCTTAAAATAGGGAGAGTATCCGGGATTATTCAGGTTGACCCAATGTAATGACATTGGCCCTTGAAAGTGAAGGAGGAAGGCAGAAGAGGAAAGAGAGGAGATGAGGCAGAAGGAGAGTCAGAGAGATCCCAAGAGTGAAGACAGAGGAAGGTGGCCATGAGCAAGGGAACGTGGGTGGCCTCTGGAAGTTGAGAATGACTCCTCGCCAGCCACCAGCAAGGAGAGTCCTACAGCCACATGGAGCTGAATTCTGTCAGTGACCTGAACGAGCTGGGAAGTAGATTCATCCCCAAAGTTGACACCTGGACTTTGGCCTTGTGAGACCCAGAGCAGAGAACCAGCTGAGCTTGCTATACCAGATTTCTGGCCTACAGAACAGACAGTCAATAAATGGATATTTTTTAAGTCATTAAATGTGTGGTGATTTGTTATGACAGCAATAGGAAACTAATATACAGGGGTTCAACCACATCCATGGGTTGGACACAGCAGAAATGGACCCATAGGGCAGTCTGTTGCATTTCTTACTTCCTAGCATCTGAAGCAGGTGGGGCCCAATGTTATAATATGAAGAAGATTAGCTTGCATTTTCTGTGTGCTTACCATGTGTTAGGTGCTGTGCTGGGTCCTTTATGTGCATTCCCTCCCTTATTTTTCACAACAGCCCTGCAAGGATTGGTGCTTTTATTATTATGCCTATTTTATAGGTGAGGAGCCTGAGGCTCGGAGAGGTTAGGTAACTGCACAGGGGTCACATGGCTTATAAATGGCAGGGCTGGGACTCAAACCTGCATCCTACAGGACATCATACCCAACATAATGCACACGAATGCTATACTTCATGGTGCACCACCACAATCAAATGTGAAGCTGATATATTTACAGATATAAAATTGCTGATATTTAAAATCTTGCCATATACAACTAAGAATGCCTTTCAACACATAAATCCACTTGACCTTGTTTTAATGTCCTTGGAATACTACACCATGAGATGCTGAGCAAGGAGAAAAAAATCAAAGTTGGATGGTCAAGGAAACAGGAGACTCTTCCCCACTTCCTCAAGAGCACAAGCACACTCCACGCCAGAGCACAGCGCACACTCTTATATTTCTGTTCAAATCCTTGGAGGTCCCACATGTTCTAGATTGTGTCACAGATTGTGCTCTCTTCCCTGCAGCAGGCACTCAATTCCAGAGGTGAAAGTTGTGATGGAGACATTTTTATGTCTTGAACATAAACATCAGAAGCCAAAAGGAATATCGGGTGGAGCAAATGAGGTTCATAGCTGACATTTTATCTGGGGGTAAGGGATGGCGGGGGTTGATGTGCTGATTTGCCCTCAGTTGTCTGTACAGAAAGTATGACCTCAAATTCAGCCAGTGGAAAGTCTGAGCATGCAATAAACTCCTTCTGATGCTTATTCATTCACCTGTTCAAGCATGTAACAAATATGAACTAGGCTCCTATATTGTGCCAGGGTTCACACTGAAGCTGAGGATACAGTGAAGAACAAGATGAGTTCCATGTTCATGGGTCTTACAGTCTAGTGAAGGAAGCACAGAGAAGCGAATGATTTCAGGCCAGCATAATAGACACGATGATGGAGGAGGCACAGACTGCCATTGGAGCATGTGGGAGAGACACCAGACCCAGACTCAGAAGACAGAAGTAGTGGCCCCTACACTGGGGCCTAAAGAAAAAGCAGGATTTGGCCAGGCACAGAGCAGGTAGGGGACAATGTTCTAGACCAAGGGAATGTCATGATCTAGGTCTGATCTGGAAACATACATGTGTATGTAAATACATCCGGAAAATAGAAGGCAAAGAGACAGAATGGCAAAGGATGAGGCTGAAGACATCAGGAGGGGCCGAGGTCAGAAAGTCCTTCTCCTATGTCAAGGAGTTGCACTTTCTTATAAGGTAACTTGGAAACCACTGAAAGAAAAGGCTGAGCAGTGACATGATTAGATGCGGTTGCTTTAGAAGGATCCCTCTGGTGGAAGAGTCAAGAATTGAGTGGAGGCAGAGAGGCTACTGAAAAGCTAGAGGCGGTGGTAGGTGTCAAGGAAGGGCGGGATTAGGGACAGAGAAGAGGAGCTGGATTCCAGAGATACCTGGGAAGGAGGGTCAATGGGATTTGGTGGTGTGGCGGAGGGAGATGAGTGAGTCCAGGATGACTGCCAGGCCCGACTTGGCCAGGGCATCATCCAGCTATCATTCTGAGTGGACAGGCCCAAGTTGTGGTCAGCAGAGAAGAGATGGGATTGTAGTTTGCTACCTGTGAGAGGCCTGAGGAGTAGGGGATCAGCCAGGAAGCAGATCTTCCTTCTATTGCACTAGGCAGCTGGGAGCACCTCTGTGGATGGGCAACTTGGGGATTTCAGAGCAGGTAACTCTTGGTTGTTTTGAATATGCTGACAGAAGAACAAAAGCTTTAAGGAAAACAAAGCCTAACCCCTTATGAAACAGGAACTGATACACAGTTTCAAATGCTTGCTTTTTCTCCCATGCTCTTGTTTTCTGTGGAGAAAGATGCCTTGCGTGTTGAAGGTGGCAGGTGCAGGTTGCTCTGTGGGCCTGGAGAAGGGTCAGTGCAGCTGTAACCTGTTCACCCCATGTGCCCTGACATGCTGTGACGTCTTGACAGGTGTCCTGACTCTTGGTCTTGACATGTCACATCAGGGCTGCCAGTCAGCTGCGACAGGGCTGGAAGATCCTGCAGGCCTGGGGCTTGGTAGCACTTGCTTGGTTAAACACTTGTCACTGCTATGGCTAAGCCCCATGGCAGGCTGACAGATCAGGGCTACTCGGATCCACTTACAGTGATAGTCCTTCAGTCCTCTTCTTACTACTATAGTTCTGCAGCAGGGGGAGGGAGACCTTCGTGGGCAAGTGTGTGGGATATATTCAGTGCCTGGCAGTGATGTACAGCTATCTGCTGCTTTGGTCCACCCATTATTTGCCTCCCCATCTCCTGATACCAGCAGCCAGACTTTCTTTAGGGAACTTCTTTCAGTTTGTGCAGTTCTGGTGCAGTTACCTTTTACCCAGTACCATGTCAGGTATGGGCACAGGACTCAAGCCAGCCAATCAGAGTCCACTTTCCCTGGACTTGATCACTCAGAGGGAGCTATTCCTTGATTGGCACGTAACCGAGCTAGGCCAGTGAGTCTCAGTTCGAGACTTTGCATTAGGGCTGTTGAAAAAGAAGTGTTCATTCTATGGAATTGGAAGCTGGAATGATGAAGTTTGGGGTCCAAGGGGCCAGAGGGCCACAGTATGGAGAACTACCTGAGAATTAAATCGAAATGAAAAGGAAAGTAGATATGGGGGGTGGGGGCAGAGACAGATCCCTGGAGACATCATTTGAGACCCTGAAGCCACAGTATGGAGAACTACCTGAGAATTAAATCGAAATGAAAAGGAAAGTAGATATGGGGGTGGAGGCAGAGACAGATCCCTGGAGACATCATTTGAGACCCTGAATTCAGCTGTGCCCAAAGCCAGCATAGTCTGAATGATTTCATTACAAGAGCCAACAAATGCCTTTTTCCATAAGCCAGTTTAAGTGCAGATGAATAGAAATTTCATCCATTATTGAGTCCTGGTTCAAGTCAATTAAGCCAGTATTTGTTAAGCTCTATGGTGGGAGTTATACTTCAGAACTGTAGGGAACACACGAGGCATGATATAATCACAGCCATAACAGTAATTATTATTATTGTTCCATTTATTGAAACTTTCCTGTTTTCAGACAGTTCTGGTGCAGTTACCTTTTACCCAGTACCATGTCAGGTATGGGCACAGGACTCAAGCCAGCCAATCAGAGTCCACTTTCCCTGGACTTGATCACTCAGAGGGAGCTATTCCTTGATTGGCACGTAACCGAGCTAGGCCAGTGAGTCTCAGTTCGAGACTTTGCATTAGGGCTGTTGAAAAAGAAGTGTTCATTCTATGGAATTGGAAGCTGGAATGATGAAGTTTGGGGTCCAAGGGGCCAGAGGGCCACAGTATGGAGAACTACCTGAGAATTAAATCGAAATGAAAAGGAAAGTAGATATGGGGGTGGAGGCAGAGACAGATCCCTGGAGACATCATTTGAGACCCTGAGTTCAGCTGTGCCCAAAGCCAGCATAGTCTGAATGATTTCATTACAAGAGCCAACAAATGCCTTTTTCCATAAGCCAGTTTAAGTGCAGATGAATAGAAATTTCATCCATTATTGAGTCCTGGTTCAAGTCAATTAAGCCAGTATTTGTTAAGCTCTATGGTGGGAGTTATACTTCAGAACTGTAGGGAACACACGAGGCATGATATAATCACAGCCATAATAGTAATTATTATTATTGTTCCATTTATTGAAACTTTCCTGTTTTCAGACATTCCTCAGCACTTTACACAGATTATTTCATTTGACCCTTACAGCAAGTCTTTGAATTAGAAATAATTATCTGTATTTTATAGAGAAGGAAACCTAGACCAGAGAGGTAAAGAAATATGTTCAATATAATAATAATAGTGAAAGAGTGAGTCATAGTCTACTATGGCCTCAGACTCTGTGTCTTCACCACCCTGCTTTCTTGCTTCCTTCCCTTGAGTGGCTCACACTCTGGTCATGGAGGCATAAAGAAAACACACTGGGTATAGCAGAGCAGGTGAGGTGACTCCCTCCCACCCCAAGGACTTTGAAATAAGGGAAATAAGATCTTATACCCATGAAAACGAAATAGAATGGATCAGAGTCGAGATTTGCGAAATTGCCCTACAGAGCCAGGACGGCTTCCAGCCAGCCAGGCTAGGGCTAGCTGCCTGAATGTCCTGATAGCAAAGAATAAATGGTGTGTCAGAAGAGGTGTCAGCCAACCATGGAAGCAAAGAGCAAGGGGGTCAAAGAGGAGAGTCTTGGGAATGGACATCCTAGCACTTTCCAGGAGATGGGTGCTACAGCCAGAGGTGGCCAGACCATCTCTTTGGGGAGCTGGGAGAGAAGGTGGGGCCACAGGATCCAGCAGTCATTCTTCTCATGAAAGCCACCACTCCCCCTGGGCCTGCTTCAGCCAACACGCCGAGTTCTGGGGATGCCATGCTTTTCTTCATTATGACCTTTCCTACTCTCTTTTAAAACCTCTGCTTCCCTAGAGGGTGTCTCTGTAAAGAGAGGACTTTTCTTGCCACGTGTAGGCAGGCATTCCAGGTTCTGCAATGATGGTTGAATGTCACTGTAATTTAAACTGGCCTTCAGAGTCTAACTTGGTTTCCCTTGTGAGTTCCTACAAGGAGGGACTGGGTTGGTTAGAAGCTCGCAAGGCGTCGGGTCCATACATCTGTTAGAGTTCTCCATATAAAATAATCATAAGTCTTCCTAATTTACAATGTTAACTACACAGGAGCTGGCTACTTTGGAAGCTGCCCTTTTGGAGATGAGTTTCTTCTGTGTGCTGATAGGGCAGGTTTCAGAACCTGCCAGACTCAAGGCCAGGCCTGGATGATAGCACAGCAACCGTTTAAAGTGCTTTCTCATGTACATATCTATGCCTGGATGAGAGAGGCTGAGCAGCTTTGCAGACAGAAAGAACATCATGTGCTTAGGAGTTAAATGAACTTGAACTTGAATCACAGCTTCACCATTCCTAGCTCTGTAGATAAGCTTTCCACCTTTCTAAGGCTCAGTTCTTTATGTAAAAGATGAGGACAATAACAGGACCTGTCTCACAGAGTGGCTATGAGGACTAAAATGAAAAAGAAAAAAAAAGAATGCAAAGGGTTTAGCAGGGCACCTGACATAGCCAACCTTGTTAGCTGTTAGTGACTCTCTTGTTGCTGATACCATTGCATGCCTGGCACAACACACCCCTCTGACCACATACTTTTCTATGTATGGTCCAGGCCCGAGTGTTCCATACAGTGACACAGGCCATCAGGAAGGCAGGGTGTCTTAAAGAAAGAGAGCACCTGGCTTTACAGGTGGGCTCGTCCACCCAACTGTCCNTATGTAAAAGATGAGGACAATAACAGGACCTGTCTCACAGAGTGGCTATGAGGACTAAAATGAAAAAGAAAAAAAAAGAATGCAAAGGGTTTAGCAGGGCACCTGACATAGCCAACCTTGTTAGCTGTTAGTGACTCTCTTGTTGCTGATACCATTGCATGCCTGGCACAACACACCCCTCTGACCACATACTTTTCTATGTATGGTCCAGGCCCGAGTGTTCCATACAGTGACACAGGCCATCAGGAAGGCAGGGTGTCTTAAAGAAAGAGAGCACCTGGCTTTACAGGTGGGCTCGTCCACCCAACTGTCCACAGGGTCCAGACTGGAAATGTCAATGAGGGAAATGGGTCAGCTGGGAGGGGTTGGACGGCATATTCAGGCCTGGCTAAAGAGGCCTCACAAGTCAGCTCCCACCCCACATGCCATAAAGGAATGAAGACCCAGTATAGCCATTTCTGTGCATTTTTCATTAAAGCTAAGAATCTAGGTTTCTTTGTGAAGTTTCCCATTTCTTACATAATAGCAACTAATTTAAATTCTTTTAAACATTCTTCAGGTCCACCAACTGGCCTATGAACCTGAAACAGTCTTGGGCTTTCATTTTTGATCTCTGTCTTAAATTCTGAGCAGGATTGGGGTAGGAGATGTCTGAGTTTGGGTTCCCCCAGAAGAAGATCCTATATGACACCAACTGGCCTATGAACCTGAAACAGTCTTGGGCTTTCATTTTTGATCTCTGTCTTAAATTCTCAGCAGGATTGGGGTAGGAGATGTCTGAGTTTGGGTTCCCCCAGAAGAAGATCCTATATGACAAGGAAGCAGGACAAGCAGTTTTAGGGGAATGTGATCCCAAGGAAGCAGGACAAGCAGTTTTAGGGGAATGTGATCCCAGGAAACATCGATGGGGCTGTGAGGAGTGGGACAGGGATAGGAAAGCAGTCGATAAAAGGGGGATTATTGAGTCACCACTGTGGGTGACTGGTGACTCGAGCTTATTCCTGCTGGGAACTCTGGGAGCCAGTGTAGACCCTGAGTCACCCCATCCTGGGGTGAGGGAGCTGGGATATGTATGTACTCACTCCTGTCAGTCATTGGCTGCTGGCTGTTCCCTGGGGACATCAATACCCTCACACTCCTCACCTGCCATAAGCCTGTGCCGCTCAAGCCTTGAAGGCCAGAGGGGCCCAAAGGCAAAAAAGGCATGTGATGGGTAGCTGTAGTTTGGACTGTGCAGTGAGGCCATGGGTGGGGCACCTGCAGTGTCAGTGGCAGAGGGGCAGAAGGAAGCAGAGTCAGCACCAGCTACCACATTAACAAGTGTTCTAAGCATCATCTACCTCAGTGATTAGGGGCAGATGGCAAAGGTCCTCGCACTGGCTCCCCGTGTCCTGTCAGATGAGGCTTCCAACACCTGCCTCTGGTTTCCTTCTTGTGCCAAAGCAGAAGTTGAGGCTGGAAAGAGATGTGAGCTCCTAGCAGGAATGCCCTCTTGCCATGCCTGCCTCTAGAGGCTCTGCCTGTCAATTAGAGAAAGATCTGCGAGATTCTATTCTCCTCCATTATCTTCTACCGGGGTCTCCAGTGGCAACTCTGCAACCGTTTTCTGCAGAGTGATTCAAATTGTTTTATATCTCCTTAGCTGCCAAGTACAATGTCATAAGCAATAAATAAATAAATCGTTGGCCTATATGGAAAGCATATTTTGTCCAGATGCATCCTTGAAACTTCAGCCCTGAAACATGAAAGTCAGATTGGAAACCACATTCCCAACACTCGGGGGAAGGAAGCTCTTGTGGAAAATCTGTTTGATTGGCAGTTGCTGTCACCCAGCACCCAATATGTGTCCTGCTGATAGGCCAGGCAGCACGCCTTCCAAAAGGCTGAGCATTCAAGGGGATGTGGCTTGCCAGTGTTCGTGCTTAGCATGGGTGGCTCTACTGGACTGCCTGGGGTGAAGGAGGAATCGGTCTTGGGGGTTGGTTAACTAAGGAGCTGAGATCTGTGTGTTCCTTTTGACCTCCTCCTGATCAGCTGAGTTGGAGCAAGCTTCCTCATCAAGAGGGCCAAGTT